TTTTTTTTTTTTTTTTTTTTTTTTTTTTTTTTGGTAAACTTCCAACGTGGCGTTGCGTCGTTCAAAACCCTAACCTCAAGTAGTGAGATTCTTTAAGCTTGTAATCACCATAGTTTGTGTTTCTGTTCTTTAGGTTTTCTCCTTCGCGATCAAATGTTATTACCTTTATTACAGGAAAATATCCTGGCTCTTTGTTTTTCCCTCCCTTTCTTTCATTACTATAGTTTTGGGAAAATAAATCATTCCCTTTATGATTGCTATAATGGGTTCAATACCTTAGTGATTTTAAGGAAAAAAAAATAATGGTATTAAATTCTTATTGGAAATAGTAGTGGCAGAGGTTCACTTATTATTTATAGATCATGCCTTAGTTTCAATTCTTATTCCCTCATGTTTGTTTTAAGCTACTTATTATTTATAGATCATGCCTTAGTTTCAATTTTCAAAATTTTGTCCAGTGACGTGAATTCCCTTTCAGCCTCAAGCTGTGCCTGAAGTTGTACTGAATTTATACTAAACATGTTAATAGTTTTTTCCTTATTGTTTGATCTGCCTGCTCTTTTTAGTTACTTTATGTTACATTACTGTTTTGTCTTTGTAATCCTTTTTTTGTTTTGTTTTAATTTGCTCTGGTTGTAGGTAGGGATAAGTATGGGTCTTACAGAAATTGTGGAATTATCCAGTGATGATGAAAGCGAAAAGGTTGGTTTCAAAGCTGTTAAGTTGGAGAAAGATTTTGTTATGGATGCAAAGCAATATAATGAGACTGACAAAGGTCGACTAGCCAAGCGTAAGAGATCTCGGAGTCATACTACTCGACAAGATTCTGAAGAAAATATAAGTTCTAATGGTCCAAGTACAGGTCATAGTAGCTCCAGTGTATTGGAGCAAGGGCCATCGCCAATGGATGACACCGGTATTTCTTATGCATCACCCATCGGTTCAGCGCCCCTGTGTAGGCAGTTTTGGAAAGCTGGACACTATGATGATGGGCTTGGTTCTAAAGTCACAGTCCAAAGTAATCCAATATATTCTTTTGGTCAGATTAATATATTCTATATTGGTTCATGGATGTTCTGTCAATAAGTTCATATAAATACATCTTGAATTTTTAACAGATTTTTCTTCCTGCCTGACTTTCATGGGGACTATAGTTTTCAGATCTCACAGGCTAGTTGCTAATAAGCTTGTAGCCTGTAGGTACAAAGACTTCTGTCAATTCTGGACTTCTTATCTCTTTGTTTTCTTCTCGGGTTGCAGATGCTAAAAATTATCTACATGTGCACCCAATGTTCCTCCACTCAAATGCAACTTCGCATAAGTGGGCATTTGGTGGTATGTTGTTATCATCCGTATAAACTTGTGTCTTATTTATGATTACTTTGATCGACTCCCTATGTTATATTTTTTCATGAGGTGATCTTCTTTGTTTCTGTTTGCAGCCATAGCAGAGCTTCTTGATAATGCAGTTGATGAGGTAAAAATTCCTGATGTTTGAACTATTGAACTGCGTGATATTTTAAACATTATATTAGCTGTCATATTCTTTTATCATCTGCAGCCTTCTAATCTATTGCCGATGGCTACTAATAGAGTAATAGTACAATGCAAGGATTATTGTAAAACATACATGTCTAATGCCACTAATGTTTTATGCTTTTTCCATCTTTGAAGCCATCAATTCATATTTTACATTTGATTTTTGTTCCTATTTTCTATTGTATTGTTAACATTTGTTCTTAGGATAGATCCAAAATGGGGCTACCTTTGTCATTGTAGATAAAACTTCAAATCCAAGGGATGGAAGCCCAGCACTGTTGATTCAAGGTATATTGCTTCTGGAACAAATTAATAAAGGAGCATATTTGTGCTGAATCTTTATTGTGGTTTTAAATTTGTAGCCTGAATCTTTCTTTGTTGCATTGGTTACAATGATTCTATTTTTTTTTGCTTTGATGCTGACATTTGGCAATTAGATGATGGTGGTGGAATGGATCCGGAAGCAATGCGTCGTTGCATGAGTTTTGGATTTTCAGATAAGAAGTCACAGTTTGCTATTGGACGCTGTACGGATTGTGACTTATTTTTATGCTATCATTTTGGTATTTCCCTTTTATATTTATTTTTCAATTTGGTGTTCTAGATGGAAATGGCTTCAAGACCAGTAGTATGAGGCTTGGTGCAGATGTCATAGTCTTCAGTTGCCATCTAAATAATAGGTACGGGTCAACTAATGAACATAACATTATGCTAAAGTTGGTTAAGGCAATGTGTCTCTCCTGATGTATTGGCAATCACCTCATTATCTTGAAGAAAGTGTGATTATTAATGCTTAAGTAGATTCTGAAGGCCATATCAACTCAAAAGTATTTATTCAGCTATTTTTTTATAGTTTTTTTTATATTTAATTTTTATATATGAAAGGCTATAAATAACTTGGCCATCATTTTTTCTTTTCTTTTTATATCCTTGGAGAAATGTGTAGATATAATAAGGTGTTTTAATAAATTGAAGTAATCTACTCTCATGTTAGGAACCAATCCATTCTAAGTACATTTATTATGATTACTTTAGCCAATTCCTTTTAGTCTCTTTTGACTATTGCCTCACTTATTCAAATGAGTGGAAGGCAGGGAGGTTTTGCAACAAGCCAACAATATGTAAACTGTGAATTTATGGGGGGTGGAAATGAAACTTTTATTATTATTTTTCTTACTGTTTCTATCTTGATCAGGATTTTGACTCAAAGCATTGGACTTCTGTCATATACATATTTGACACAAACACAGCTTGACAGAATAGTAGTGCCCATGGTAAGCAGTATTTCTCATTTTTAATTAGTTGAAGGTTTTGGTTCATGTTGGAGATCTCACCTTATAAGTTGGTTTTATAAGGATGAATTAAACCCAAATCCACTTTCTTTACTGTTCAAATGCTATTTCTCTACATATAGCATTACCCAATATGGTGCGTTGACTGTTCTACTGTATGCTGATTTGATTCTTAGAAAATTCAAATTGTTACTATTGTTCTAGAGAATTTACAGTGGACAACTATTGTGTTTAGTTTTCCTTCTCTTTTGATTGGAAGTACATTTGTGTTTCTTTTCGGTAATTTTATGCATTTAATTTAGTAATGTTATGCTAGATATCTTTTAGCATATCTTCATAACATGATATTAAAGCCTTGATGACCAAGTGGTCGAGAATTTGGTCCTTGCTGTCCTCATTCTTCTGGATGAAGTTGAATTTTAGCACAAGATAAGATGGTGAGACTGCTGCATAGTTCATGATTCAAGCCCTAATCTGTGAGGGGACATGTTAGAAATATAAAGTATAAATTTTTATGATCATTCACCTATTCAGCTTAAGTTTTTGGGAAGTTGGTCCTTTACTGTTGATGATGATTTGACACCTGTTTTTACTCTCCATCTCCTGATAAGTATTCTACAATAAAGGTTCAAGTAGTTTCAGTTAACATCACTAACTAATCTTTTAAATTTCAGGTGAATTATGAGTTTAATACATCAACTGGTTCGTTGGAAATATTAAATGGAAATGAGCATTTTGTGGCTAATTTATCCTTGCTGTTGCGTTGGTCACCATATTCATCAGAAGCAGATCTTCTAAAACAAGTCAGTTTCTACATTTTCCCTTTCATCCATGATAATTGGTTGGTTTTGATAGAAATATACTAAAAAATGTTGGCTGGCATATTTATTGTCTCCTCCTCCATTGTAGACAATACAGCCTAGTGTCATGACTGGATAGTTTCTTGGAACATCAATGTTTTTGCTGTAGAATCCCAGTTATAATTGTTCATTTATTATATGAAAATTTACTCGTTATGATGTTTGACATTAAGTGGCATTTATTCTTTCATTCTGTGTACTTAATTTTAAAAAGCACTTTTTTAATAAAATAAGCAGTTTTCTATTTTTTTTTTTGGCTGTGTTAAATAACGTTATATTCTTATCATTCTGCTGAGAGGTGGTAGCTATTGCTGTACTAGTCAAAGAAGGGGGTTTATTTGTCGAATGAATTGTAGCCAAATAATTCCTTGTAAAGTAATTAGTAATTTAGTATAACATACTAATTTGTTTCATAATATTGGTTGCTATCTTGATTTATTAGTAGCTTATTATGACTAAAAAATATTCTTCTCTTGCAGTTTGATGACATTGGATCTCATGGTACTAAAGTTATTATCTATAATTTGTGGTGCAACGATGATGGGAATTTGGAGTTAGACTTTGAGACAGATCCGTCGGTTGTATTTTTATTTGATTGGTTTTCTTTTCTTGCTTTATTCTGTTTTGAAATCTTGCTTTGTTGTTAATGAAGGAGGTATTTCTTATATGCAGGACATTCGTATTGCCGGGGATATCAAGAAGATTGATACACTTCCTGCCTGGAAGAGTATAAATGAGGAACACATTGCTAATCGGTTCCGTTACTCTTTACATGTATGTTTGATTTAGAAAATAATGATTAAGTGGCTGTGTAAAAGGTTGAATTTTCTTATTCTAATATCCTCACGTTACCCAGGTATATATGTCCATATTGTACTTGAAGATACCGGAAAGTTTTCAAATTATATTGCGAGGGCAAGTTGTGAAGCCACACAACATTGCTGATGATCTTAAATATCCTCAGTTTGTTAAATATGCTCCACAAATTGGTGGATCAGTAAAGGTGATTGTCTAACTTTTGGAATATTTTTAATTATATATCAATTGAGAGGAAACATTATCTTGGGCTGTGGAGAAAAAATATCTTCTGCTAGCTATAGTTCATGCACTTCACTTTATTTTTATTTTTTAAATAATAATAATAATTATTATTTGGATTATCTGTCTAGGGAACAGCTTTGACAGTCACAACAATTGGATTTCTTAAGGACGCACCTCAAGTCAATGTCCATGGTTTCAATGTATATCATAAAAATCGGCTTATACTGGTAATTATTACCCAAAATGTTCTAATATTCCTAGTTGGAGGCAACTTTATTTTTTTTTTATTCAATGCTCGTGACTGATTAATTGGTTATTTCTTCTGAAAATTGGCTTAAACTTGCAATTGCATAATGTGAAATGAATTTCTTAATTTCTTCACTTTGGCAAAATATATGTATTTAATATTGCAGTGGATTAATAAATTAGTGTATTTCAGTATAGCCCTGACAAAATATTTTTACCAATTGTTTTTGCCATGCACTTGGCATGCGGTATAGTTTTGTTACATATATTTGCTTTTTATAAAAACTTTTGGTCCTTGTAATTTTCCAAATGTGCAATTTTGATCCTTAAAATTTTGTTATTGCAAATTTGGTCCATGTAGTTTTTAAAACTAAACAATCGTGGTCCACCATTAATGTCATCCAAAATTAAAATAGAAAATACTCACGTGGGTGACACTACTTAGTAGTTAGTTAGCCATGTAGGAAAACAATATCATTAGAAATAAAATTGTTTTAACAGATTATAAAGTCTAATTGAAATCAGAAAGAAATATAACATCCATAGTAAATAACAATGTTCCTTATGTGGAAATCAGCATGACTAAATAACTGTCAGGTGGCGTTACTCACGTTCCACATTAGCCTTTTCTATTTAATTTTGGATGGTATGTTTATGGTGGACCAACATTGATTAATTTTGAAAATTAGAGACCAAATTTGCAACTGGGGAAGCTTGGCATGAACTTTGGCAATCCACCAATGAAATCCATTGATATATTAGTCCATACCCTAGTAGGAATGGGTAATGGCTGCAATAGGTTTGCTAGAGCTAATGTGCTTGTTTTATTTCGTTGGCATACCTCACACGGTGCTATATAACTTTTAATGTCATTCTTCATACCATGTCAATAGACTACACCTGCCACCCTTTTGTAAGTTCTAAAGAACCCATAATGGCCACCCATGGATGAGTCATGTAATTCCTTTAATAGCATAGGGATCTTGTTAGACTTATTAGAAAGGACCAACTTACCTTTATAATATAATCTGCAATCTTGTAATGTGAAACCCGGATAGTCTTTACTCTTGGTCAATGGGCCTTCATAAATGTTCTTCAAATGAGGATTGCTTTCCAACTCGAAGCCCCACTCATGCCGATGTTTCCTGTGCACTACTGAAATGGCAGCGAATGATAAACGTCTAGAAAGTGCATCCACCACCACATCCTCCTTATCAGACCTGTACTGGATGTCAAAATCATATTATTTGGTAGCCCACTTGAATTGGTCTTATCGACTGTTTTTCATTGAGAAATTTTAGGCTTCCCTGATCTGTTCTAAAGCTACCCAAAAGTTAAATCTCCGCCTTACTTACTGCCAATACCATTACCATCAATTCCCTCTCATATGGATTTCACTTGGTCCCTTTCAGATAAGGCCTTACTTCAAAAGGAAAAGGACCTCTTGTCTTGTATGAGAACTGTACCTGTCCCACATTGCCTTCACCTTGGGATCAGCTGCCTCACCCGAGATTATATGGCCTAAATAATCCAAGGTTTCTTACCCAAAACTACACTTCTAATGACACTGTGTGACCCCATGTAGCCGACCTTAGTGGGGGAAGGATATTGGTTTTGTCATTGTACTTTTTTACTTCTATGAGGGATTCCTTATCCTCTTCATAGTTTCCTTTTCTCTCCTTTTGATTAAATTCTTCTAAAATATTGTAAAATTAGGAAAGTAAATATTTTAAATCATTTTGTTTATTCTCTGTTGCTTTAACTTGGATTTACCATGTAGTTCATTGTATTTTTATTCTTTTTACTCTCTCATTCTCTCTAATACTGTTGTTACCCTTTCATTATGCAGCCATTTTGGCAGGTTGTAAGCTATTTCGACAGTAGGGGTAGAGGAGTTGTTGGTGAGTAACATGTTACTATGCAATTTATAGTTCAGTTTGATGTTTAGAGACGTACTGGACCACCAGTGTGTGGGTGCCTAATTGTTAATCTGTGGTAATCTTAGGTATCCTGCAAGCAGATTTTATTGAGCCAACTCATAACAAACAAGATTTTGAGAGAACGTCCCTGTTTCAAAAGCTTGAAGTGCGATTGAAGGAGATGACATGGGAATACTGGTATAGTGTTTTTAGTTATCTCTATGATTGCTTCTACCCAACTTTAAGAAGTATTGGATTAAAATTTTAAAAAACTATTTTTGCATAAATAAGTTTGGATGAATAAAAGTAAAACTAATATAATTTTTTATTAGTCTTCTAATTTCTTCATTCCAAACAAATATGAAATCTCACTTCCATTAAAGGATGGACAACCGCCATTAAAGGTGTCTGTTAAATTTTCAGTGGATAATCTGTTTGGGTAATATAATAGTAGAACATTGTTAAATTTAAGACATTTGTGTATAACTTTCAAAACATTCACACAAAGTTGTATAAGATCATTTGAATGCTGGTCAATTTAAGTATATATTTATGAAATTGTTGATAATGATAGTCACAACAACACACACACACATACACACACACACATATATATATATATATCAGGATTCGTTGACACCATGTGCAAGTCTAAAAGCTTACACCAAATTTTATATCTTAAATAACTTTTTGTATAATGCAAATTTTACAAATCCAATTGTAGAATTGTGATATTATACTCAAGATCATGTGTATCAAATATCACATGATTCTAGAATTATTTAATAGTTCATCACATTGTTTTATTTTAATGTATAATATGATATTTAAAATATGTGTAAATATTTATTTTTGGATAATATCTAGAAAAAGTTCAAATCATGTGAAATTTGATATTCATGATCTTGAGAATATTAGATAATTCAATGGTTAAATTTTCATTATACAAAAAAATTATTAAAGATATAAGATTTGATGTAAGTTTTTAGACTTACATCTGGTGTCAACGGATCATGACTATATATACATGTGTGTTTTAGTCGTTATAAAAAATTTAGTTGTTTTTCATCCTCTAAAATTCAAAACTATTGTTTTAGTCCGTACTACTATGTAACTCTTTAATTACTTATGTGATCACTATAAGTTTATGTAACCATTTCAAGTGGTACCCACTAATGTCTGCATGTAACACTTTCAACTTTTTTTTTATATATATCCTTAAATTAAGTGTTATATATATACCTTTAAATGGTCATTAGGAACCAAAATTAGTGACTTTAAATTTTAGAGGAATGAAAATAAAAAATATTTTATAGGGACCAAAACCAACATTTGCTTAAACAGGATTAAAAACATTGTTCCCAAATTTTAGAAGGATGAAAAAAAAGAAAAATAATTTACAAAGACCAAAATCAAAATTCACTCATTTTACGGGGATTAAAAACATTTTAAAACATATATATATATATATATATATATATTCAATATCCTTTGATACAGGTGTCAAATTAATGAAATGATACCTTCAATAACTTGTATAGAATACAAATTTAACCGATTCCACTATTATATTTAATGATATTACTAATTAGATCAAATATAGAAAATTGCATACAATTCTAAAATTATTTGGTAGTATATATTTATTTTTAGATAACATATCTAGAAGAGTCCAAATCATTTGAAATTTGATTTGCATGATAATCAGTGTAATATCATTAAATACAATAGTTGGATTGATTAAATTTGCATTTTATAAAAAAATATTTAAGTTGTCATTTCACTAATTTGACATTGTATATATATATATATATATATATATATATATATATAAATTAATTGTTTCCAATTTGGCATTGCATATAACTTAGAGAGTGAAACTTTTACTCTCTTAATCAGACATTTTTAACATTATGTCTTTTGTCTCTTTTGAAGGTACATTTTACGTTGTTAGATAACATATCTAGAATTAGAAGAGTCCAAATCATTTGAAATCTGATATGCATGATTATAAGTGTAATGTTATTAAATACAACGCATGGATCGATTAAATTTTCATTCTACAAAAAATTATTCAAGTTGTAATTTCACTAATTTGACACCATCGTGTCGACAGATCTTGACCCATACACACACACATATATTAATTTGTAAGCATCAATATGATTTCTGACATTTCTACGACTTGAATCTGAATAAAATTCATATTAATCTGAATTGATGGGTACAATAAAATAAATAGGCATGAAACATAATCAATCCCTAAAGTTTAGGGATTAAGATAAATCTGACTAAGGAAACTAAACTAGAAATAAGGAGAAGATAAACTAGTATATCTAAAATATATCTTATAGAATCATCTTAACACTCCCCCTCAAGCTGGAGCATATATATCATATGCATCTAGCTTGTTACATATATATGTTATCCTAGGACCTCGTAAAGATTTAGTAAAGATATCTGCAAGTTGATCCTTGGAGCAAACTGAGGAGGTCTTGATGATACTGGTGATGATCTTTTCTCTGATGAAATGGCAGTTAACCTCTATATGCTTTGTTCTCTCATGAAAAACTGGATTAGAGGATAGTATAAAGCTGACTGGTTATCACAAACTAGTTCCATATGACCAACTTTACAAAATTGCAACTCTTGAATTAAGAATTTTAGCCACAAGAGCTCACATGTGGTGTGAGCCATAGCACGGTATTCTGCTTCTGTACTTGATCGTGCAACAACACTTTGCTTTTTACTCTTCCATGAGACAAGATTATCACCCATGAAGACACAATAGCCTGATGTTGAGCGTCTATCACTTGCATCACCTTCCCAATCTACATTTGAATATCCAACAATGTCTGTATGTCCTTTATCATTGTAAACAAGTCCTTTTCCTGGTGACCTTTTGATGTATCTAAGGATTCGAACAATTGCATGCCAATGACTCTCACAGGGAGTTAAGAAACTGACTTACAACACTAACAGGAAAGGATATATCAGGTCTGGTCATGGTGAGATAATTCAATTTTTCCACTAATCTTCGATATCTCCCTGGGTCAGGATAAGGCTCCCCCTGATTAGGCATAAGCTTCACATTGGGATCCATGGGAGTGTCAACTGGCTTACAATCTATAAGTCCGGTCTCCTCTAGAATATCAAGGGCATATTTTCTCTGAGAAATAGCAATATCGGACTTTGACTGAGCAACCTCAATCCCAAGAAAATAACGTAGGGGACCTAAATCCTTAGTTTGAAAGTGTTTAAATAAGTGTTGCTTCAGAGCTTTGATGCCCTCTTGATCATCACCTGTAATCACAATATCATCTACATAAACAAGATAGACAAATCTATGTGTCAGTGAGTGTCTAAAGAAGACAGAGGTTTGCCTCGTAGCGGATCATTCCAAATTCCTATATAACTTTACTAAGCCGACCAAACCAAGCACGAGGTGATTGTTTGAGGCCATACAAGGACTTTTGTAATTTACATACAAGACTAAACCCCCTTGAGCAACAAACCCGAGAGGTTGATCCATATAAATCTCCTCCTCCAAATCACCATGTAAGAAGGCATTTTTGATGTCTAATTGAAACAAAGGCCAATGCCTCATAGCAGCCATGGCTAAGAAGAGACGAACTAAGGTCATCTTCGCAACTCGAGAGAAAGTGTCGCTATAATCCAAACCATATACTTGCGTGTATCCCTTAGCCACAAGACGAGCTTTCAATCTATCCACCTGTCCATCAGGGCCCACTTTAACATTAAATACCCACCAACAACCAACAACAGATTTTCTAGGCGGAGGTGGGACAAGTACCCAAGTGTGGTTGGAGTCTAAAGCTGTCATCTCATCAATCATTGCTTGTCGCCATCCTGGATAGGTTAAGGCCTCCTGTACTGTCTTGGAAATAGTAATAGAGAAAATAGCAGAGACAAAAACATAATAGGTAGGAGACAAATGATGATATGAAAGAAAGTTATAAATAGGATGAGGATTACAAGTAGAACGGCTACCTTTATGAAGAGTAATGGGCAAGTCAACTGAGGTAGGTGGGGCCAGAGTAGGTGAGGAGACCAGAGCAGGAGTAGAATCATATGGCTCAATTGTAGAATCACCGAGAGGAACAATAGTATGTGATCGACACTCATAAGTTATCCCAAATCTGTGTAGAGGACGGTCAGACCCTGGTAGTGTGGGAGGATCTGGTGCCTCTAAAGTAGTAGGTGTGGTAGGAGGCACACACTATGATCAAAATGAGGAATAGACAATACCTGAGAAAGGAGATTTGAGTCAACCAGAGAGACATCTGTAGCAATAAAATATGGTGTATCTTCAAAGAAAGTGACATCTGCACTGGTGTAAAATCGATGCTTAGTAGGAGAGTAACAACGATACTCCTTTTGGACACGGGAGTATCCTAAGAACACACATTTGATGGCCTGAGCAGACAACTTAGCATGTCCTGAGAAAAGATCATGGACAAAACAAGTACGGCCAAAGACACGAGGATGAACAGAGTAAAGGGGATCCAATAGGTATAATAGGGAATGAGGTACTTGATCATTCAAGACAGATGATGGCATTCGATTTATTAAATACCTTGTAGTGAGGACAACATCGCCCCATAACTTTGGGGGTGCATTAGCATTCAATAAAAGAGTACGAGCAATGTCCACAATGTCTATGTTTTCGCTTAGCTGCACCATTTTGTTGAGGTGTATGAGGGCAACTAGATTGATGTAGAATGCCATGAGAAGCCATAAATAATTTGAAGCAATCTGAAAAATATTCTTTAGCATTATCACTTCGTAAAATTTGAATTACTTTGCCAAATTGAGTTTTGATCTCTGAATAGAAACTTAGGAAAATATTGAATAACTCAGAACGATTTTTCATTAGAAATATCCAAGTACAACTAGAAAAATCATCAATAAAGGTGACGTAATACTTATGCCCTAAAAGAGAAGGAACACGACTAGGACCCCAAACATTAGAATGAATAACATCAAAAGGAGACATAGCTCGACTATTAATACTATTAGGAAAAGAAGCTCTAACATGCTTCCCTAATTGACACGACTCACGCTAAGGACTCCAACCGTGAGAGATGAGGTACCATTTTCTTTAATTTATTCAAGCTTGGATGAGCCAGGCGACGATGGATTAAATCAGGAGACTAAATAGATGCACATATGGTAGAGGTAGAAGGCTGAAGGTAGTAGAGACCATGTATCAAGAAAGAATCAAAAGTGAAGGTTATGACACGGTTTAGTGACTGAGTCAACTTACTTATAGAAATCAAATTAAAGGGACATCTAGGAACTAGTAAAACAGATTTTAATGGTAGTGATGGGAGAGGTGATATTTGGCCAATACCAGTGGGTTGGATTTTTGACCCATCTGCAAGAGTGATATGATGTGGAGTTTTAGGTGATGATAGGTTAGGGAAAAGGGAGACATTACCAGTTAGGTGATTAGAAGCACCGGAGTCCAAAACCCAAGGTCCAATAGACGTAGAATGAGAGAGACAGACCGTAGAATTATTAGTATGAGCAACAGTGATGGAAGAAGGGGCTTGTTTAGTTGCCTTCAGTTGAAGATACTCTTTGTAATTATCGACAGATAATGTGATTGGATGATTGCCCTCGAGTTCAATCTTGACTTCTAGAGCCGAAGTCGGAGATTGTGCCACATTAGCTGTCTTGCTCGGAAAGCCATGCAAGGAATAACACCTGTCACTTGTATGTCCATCTCTTTGACAGTAGTTACAATGGAGGTTTCCTCTACCTCCTTTACCACGACCACGACCTCGACCACGCCCTCGACTTCCACGGTCAGCTGTACTAGAGATAAAGGCAGAGGACTCAGATTCTGTGTGAAGATCTACCTCCGGTGAAGGGACTCGAATCAATTGATCTATGAGCTCTTCTACTGTAGGAATGACAGGATTTGTCAAGATTTGATCTCGAACAGACTCGTAATCTTTGTGAAGGCCTTGAAGGATAAACACCATAAACATATTATCAAGTTTGTTTAATATTTGTTGAGGATCATCACTAACCAACATTAGCTTGAGCTCATCAATAGTGGATTGGGCACGATTCAAATACGTTGGCAAATCATTATCAACCATACGAAGGGTTGCCAGACCATGAACAGACTCGTACAATCTCTTTATATCATTGGCATAGACATTTCGAGTCTTCTTCCAAATATCATAGCATGTCTTGTACGGACGAAAATGCACCATTAATTTAGTCTCAATAGATTGTCACAATAGAGATACGAGTTGATAATCTACCCACTGCCATTCATCTCTCACCTCTTTATCAACCTCGGATGCCTTCTTAGTAAGATGATCATAAAGACCTTGGCCTAAAAACCACATCTCAAAAGCAGTGGATCAATCCAAATAAATTTTACCATTCAGCTTTTCTGATGTGATAGTAGGTGATCCAGAAAAGGCAAAGGAGACTAGCCCCCATTTAGATGATTCAATTTTTGGATTCTCCTTAGAAGGTGTGCCATTCTTGGGAATCTCTGCCATGAAGAAAAGAAAGAGAAGAATAGCAAAAACACCTGTAAACAATCTCGGAAGACCTCCAACACAGCAACCAAACAATCTCAAATTTCCGTGGCAGCAACCAAACAACCACAAAATTCCAAGGCAGCAACCAAACAACCACCTAGAGTGTGACCCACAACCTGAAAAGGGTCGAAACGAGAAGAGGGAGGGTCGGCGAGTCCAATGGAGAAAATGGCGTCGCAAACGGAGGCCTGGAGAGCGTCGAGTGAACCCCACGCACCGGCGAGCTTCACCAACAAAAACTGCGTGTGAGACACCAATCTAGAGGCGGCTCGCGACAGAAAGGCCGATCGGCGACCTCTAGACACTCAGGCAGTGTCAACTCTGACAACTGCTGACAAAAGTCGAAAAACCCTAGATGCCTTGGTGGCAGCTGGATTAGGGTTCCTGGACCAGAAAGCTCTGGTACCAACTTGAATCTGAATAAAATTCATATTAATCTGAATTGATGAGTACAATAAAATAAATAGGCATGAAACATAATCAATCCCTAAAGTTTAGGGATTAAGATTAATTTGACTAAGGAAACTAAACTAGAAATAAGGGGAAGATAAACTATTATATCTAAACTATATCTTATAGAATTATCTTAACACTACGATTCTACATAAACTTCTGCAGGGATACACATTGTACATTGTTTGGCTATAAGGAAAAGAAGAAGCTTCCACCTGGGGTTACGCCAGTGTATCCATTGTTACGGAAACCACTTTCTGTAGAAAAACCGGTCATACTGAACAAAAGTTCCTCCACTGTTGTCAATACAAAAGAAGTATATGGGAATTCTGAACAGTGCTCCACAAATCTGCGAATAAGATCCGAGCAAGGTAACTGATTCTGAGAGAAACAAGACCTAATATGATTAGGAGCCTGTTTAGATTAATTTCTCTAGAAGTACTTCTTGAAGAAAAAAATAATAGCAAGCAAAAATAAAATAAGCTTCTTTATAAGTTAAAATTAATTTATGCATAAGTTAATTCATAGAAACTCTTATATTAGTTTTTCCCAATAACTTATTAACTTATGCATAATAGTTTTAGCTTATGGAGAAATTTATTTAATTTTTCTTCCTATTTTTTTTTTTTCTCTTAGAAGTTTTTTTTTGTGCATTAGTTTATCTAACAGGTTCTAGCATAACCAATTTTATCAAGCTAATGTTTCTTCATTCAGGTTCCAATAATAAGAGGAAGCCACATGAACTGGTGGTAGACCTTCAGAATATGAAAAGGTTTGCAAGGAAAGATAATGTAACCCATGTTGGTTTCAGTCAGAATAATAAGGTCTGCATTGGCTTCTTCATCACTGTTAAAATTTGTTCGTACATATCATTATGAGGCATATTTTCTAACGCTCGTTGTTAACTTATAAAAAATAGTGTAAATTTATTTTACAACAAAAACAATGGTGAGTGTCAAATTTGTTTCTGTATTGTTACACCTTAGCTCCATTTTTGCCTTCTGCTATCATTGTTTGGTACAGAGATTTATTGTATCTTTTGTTCAGGAGTAGCTACTCATTTATCTATTCTATTAATTTACTTGATTCCGTTGGAGTTCATATTCGCCATTCCAACTCTTTGAAACATTTATTGGTGCTAACTTCACAGTTGAATTTTATGTAGATCACTGCAACTCTAGATGACCAAGTGGTAGACCAGAAGACCATAGACTTAATGCAACAAAACAAGAAACTGCATGCAAAGTAAGTATATTTCTAGTTTCTGTCACTTTGAGGAGTTTTATAATTGTATGAATTACTGTTCAGTGTTCAGCAAGTTGGGTTGGCTTCAAATTCTGGCAAACACAAACTATGTGCAAGTTTTACTATTTTGATTTTACCAATATTTACCAAACTTTTGTTATGCCTCAAATTTTGAATTACAAATGACAGTTATAAACCTTAATGTCTACTCTTTTCCCTGCAGATGTTTAGAATTTGAAAAGACAGAAGAAGAACTTAATCTCAAGGTAATTTGTAGGAAGTAATAAAGCTTGGTTAGTTACTTTGCATGTTTCTGTTGCCTAATTCTTAGAGGAGTATTTTTGTTCATTCTATGGTTGGTGGAATTGTTTGTATTTGGATAATAATAGTATAGCACTGGGATTCTAGGATGTTGCATTAGAAGTTAATTTTTTTTTTTCCTGTTTTTTAAATCTTTACCTACAAAAGTATTTTAATTTCCACCATCCTTAACACAAAAATGAAAGAAAGAAAAATAAAATATAAAAAAAAAACCATTACTACAAAAAATTGTATAGTTAGAGATTTATATCCCAAAAGGTTAGGTTTATTGTGTGTTTGAATAAACCTTTTCAGAAGCACTTCTAAAATTAGCTTATACATAAGTTAAAATAATATTTTAGAGAAATTAATAAGAAAGAATTTCTATTAATTAACTTATGCTTAAGCTACTTTTAACTTTAAAAAAAAATATTTATATTTTCATTCTATATTTCTCTCCTATCAATACTATTGAAGAAGTTTATCAAAATAAGTTTGTAATGAATTTGGCAGAAGTTTCTTATAGTAGATACTATGGAATAAATGCAGAGAATAAAAATCTGATTATGATTGTGCAGGTGACGACGCTTAGAAGTAAAATTCAAGCAGCCCAAGATGAGTATAATCGGCTTTTGGCTGAAGTGAAGTCTCTAGAAGTGAAAGAAGAGTAAATGTGTAGCTGTAATTCTTGGTTCAATTCTTTAGTTTGTAGCAGTGATGTTGTATGTATAGGTTAATCCTTTTTGCAGTCTTTGGCTTACTACCAGGTTTTGGGGAAAGAAAGGATCACAGGGTCTGAGTCCCAGTTTTTCAGTCAGGCATCCTGTGTATCATGTATATGGAAGTGAGACACAGTTATAGCCTATGACAACTTTCTTCTGTACATGTAAAATACTATGAAACCGTCAGCTATAAGCAATCAATTCTTTCTTGTTTCTATCTTTTGGTTGTTTCATTGGAAGGATTAAACTATGACGAAATCCATATGAAAATTGATATAGGACATTATGAAATTGTATCTTATTATTATATTTGACTATAATTTTTTTTTTTTAAAAAAAAAGTAAATTAGTCCTGAAATATTTTTAGGGTTTTATTTAAGTCTCTAATATTAACCATTTTTTACTTTAATCCTTAGTCCAGGAACTTGAAGTGATACACTATTACTGTTTTGGGGCCAAAATTTAAAAAAAAAAAGAGATTAATTTTAGGAACTTAAAAGAGATCTTAATATTTTTTTAAGGATTTATTTGAGTTCTTAGTTTAATGAGATACAGTTTTGAGGTGTCATAATTAGATCTAATAATTTAATATTAGTTACATGTTATATTAATGTTTAGGAGTATTTTAAATTAATAAATAGTGAGTCTTATTTAAAAAGGAAGTAGGGATGACAAAACTAGTGTCCATGAATACATACGGATAAAATTTGCTATAAATTGAAAATAAATAATTAAATAGATATTTATTTAATAATGCACTAAGAGTGGGTATTAATGTATTTGCACAAAAAGTATTTGTACTTTGAAAGTATTAAAAGTATTTTAAATTATATAAAGTAATTTGGTTTAAATTTTTAAACTATAATTATATATATGTTATAATTATTTTAAAAAAATGTTGCAAAATTATTTTTTAATATAAATATATTTAGTTTTATTAAACATTTAGGGACATAAAATATCCATAAATGAATATAAAATTCATATATACTCACTAAATAAAGTGGGTGATAAGTGGTTACTAGACATTCAGTCATGTTTCTTCCTATTGTTATCCCAAGGATCAACGTCATTAAAGAAATGGTTTTTTAAGAATCAATACGGAGTTAAATGTAATATTATTATATTATGTTAATTTGGATTTAATATTATTTAAAATATTTTAACATCGAAAAATAATATTATTAGTAATAAAATAAGAGTTAATCACTTATACACTGCCAGTGTAAAGTTTTTTTTATACTGACAACTAATTATATCTCTTAATTGTGTCATGTCACTATTAAAAGTAAATATGTTTACAGTAATATGACACAATTAAGAGATATAATTGGTTGTCAGTGTAAAATTTTTTTACACTGACAGTGTATAAGTGATTAACTCATAAAATAATGGGCATTGAACAAAAAATATCAACTATTAATTGAATAAGACTATAGGACTTTAGGAAGACAAAGAAACAAACAAATATGAGAGTACCATCTTTATATAAGAGCATCTCCTATGCTTAATTGCTCAAGTGAAATTCTTAGTTTTTTTTAGTGGACCCCATTATGCCATGTAAGATTTAGGAAGTTTTACAAAATATTGCTTTAACGATAAATTTCTTATTTGAGTTCTTAATTATAGGACCTACAATTAATATCTTTTTTCTCTATCCCAATACAATCTCTCCTCCATCAATTGTCATCCTATGGTAAAAATATAGTTTTTATTCCTTTTGTCAGTTAAGAAACTACTACTTAATTAAGCAACAAAACTTACATGTGATAGTTACTTGACATACTCTAATGCTGAAAATTGAAGAACATTGTTACTTAAATGTATAGAAAGTCCAATAAGATCCGATAGTGGAGATACTCTAAAAAAACAACTTTTGGTGTACCTTTTGTAAAACATGTACTTTTCAATCTCTTGTGGGGTTTTCATTACTTTCTTCTAAGAACTCTGATAATCTTTAGGTGGTTTGGAGTACTTGTAATGAGACACTGATATTTAAGTCATAAGAGTGGTAAGGTTACATGTCATTAGTATGAAATTACGATAAATTACATGTCATAAGATTGGGTTCTCTCATGTTTTATAGGCCATAAATAATGAACGCTTCTAAGGTGAAGAAGTTAGGTTGATGGTATATGGGTGAGGATGATTTTTGACTGGTAATAATGAGTTTTGTGACTTGTTTGTGATTGCAAAATAGTCCTCCATCATCTCCGTCTGTCAGTCCTTCAACGTAGCTGGCTTCAACCATCGGCAACCAGTTCGACCTCGATCTCCTCGTCGGCTACTCCATCCTCTCCATCTACCATCCCTCTAGCATCGACAACTCCGACCGTCAGTAACCAGTCTAACCCCCGTTTTCTCGTTAACTACTCCATCCTCTCTGTCTGCCAGCCCTCCAACACCATCGACTCTGATCGTCGGCAACCAGTCCAATCCCGATTTCCTCATGGACTACTCCATCCTCTCCTGCTTGCCAACCCTCCAGCATCGTCGACTTCGACCCCAAGCAGTGGAAGCAGAAGCACGACTTCGTTCGTGCTGTAGCAGCGGAGGCACAACCTCCTTCGCGCAATGGCAGCGCGAAGGCGCGAGCTCCTTCAAGCGGTGGCAGCGGAAGGGTGTGGCCTCCTTCGCGTGGTGACAGTAAAGGCGCAGGCTCCTCCTCGACACCACCAACCTCATGTCCTTCCTCTGTCGCTACCTCCCCCTCCCCGTCATTCGCAACGTTCAACTCTCATGCCTCTCCTTTGCCTTCTCCGCTGTCAACTATATCCGCTATGACCAAAACCTCGCCACCTCCAAATTCGACCCTCCCCGCCCTTGGCTTGCCCTCGACGGCCTCGCCCCTGTCGTCTTCCTCATCCTCACCACCTGCTGGCGGGCAAAACAACAACTCTCTCAAATTTTGTATTTTTACACAGGTTGAGCTGTATCGATTATAAAATGACTAAAATGTTGATTCATATAAGGGTCAGATTAACCATACATGTATAAAACGACCAAATAGAGTAATGTACAAGGTCAAGGGCCATAATCCCTAACTAAGTACTAAGAAGGGCATAATATTTGAAATATATTTAGTGGGCTAATCTCATAAGAGACTTAGTTATGTATGTTAAGGTCATGGTAGGCTTACATCCAAGTTATTCTATCCTGACAAGGATACTAGACTTCCCTAGTTTAAGTGATAAAATTTTGAGAAATCATATTGTATTGTGGATTTTTATCCAACTTATCTATTGATCTAATTAGCTTAAAAAGATTGTGTTGTTAGTTAGTTCAGTAGAGTCAAACTACTTAGATTGCTCACCTGTGTTGTAATAGATCTCTTAGTTGAAATGTGTGACGACATATTTAGTTGTCGTGTTGTGCACATATTGTTGAGTTGATGAATGGTGTTATGCATATGCTATGTTGTTATGTGGATAAACTACAGTGTTTTTGTGTTGTTCAAGTTGAATGATATGTAGTGTTATTCATATGCCATATTGATATGTTGAAGGTTGTACAATAATGTTATAAGTTAAGAATTTGTTTCCTTGTGATTAGATCGCAATGGTCATATTTATATAGGAGCAGAGTATTATTACGTGAGAGGCTATACCAGTTTTGAGGTCATGTTGGTTGATGGTGGTGTTGATCTTTGATGTAGTTAGTTTAGTAGTTGTTATTTGACCGACAACTTATAATTATATATTTAGTAGTAGATTATTGTACGTAAGTATACTTGTGTAGTTGTTATATTATTTCAATTGTTGATTAAATTTTTCAATGTATATATTATTGCACCTATATTTAGATATTGCTTGTAGATTAATCCTAGGTAGATATTTATGTTTTCCACTAGGAGTAAATGAATGGTAAAATATAAAAACTTGTCAAGTCATTATAATTTAAAATATAACTTATATGTTAAAAATATGTATTTATTATAAATCATAGCTATATAAAATAAATATTTATCTTCTACATTGTATAGGCTAAATATTAATTTATTTTTAATATTACATCCTCTCTACATATAAATTAGAATAGTTATCTTAAAGGAAATTATTTTTGAAGATCTATTTATATATATATTTAACATATTTAAAAATATTATTTACTAAAATTTTGATTTTATAAAATAGACATTTATTTTGTGTACTTAAAAACTGAAATATTAAATTAAAATTTTAAATTATGCAAATAAAAAGGTTTTTTTAACACCAAATGCAAATAGAAAGTTATGTCCTTCATTTTAACATAAAAGATCGTAACCGAAATAAATACATATAAATTTCAAAATATCAAAGATTTTAGTAACTGAAATATAATTTAAATTTAAAATATAAAAGGAATTCTTAGTTTTGGTGTAATTAACATATTTAAATTAAAAATTTATTAGAAGTATTTAAACATAAAAATAAAAAATGATTTATTACCATATTAAAATCATAATTAATTACGAATTTGTCATGTCATAGTATCCCGTTAGCATAAAATAACAAAATTTTAACAGAATCAGTAAATGAAAGATTTAATTACTTTTGGGGGAAAGTAAGAGAAAAAAAGAGAATATATGATAATTGATTTGATGAAATTTCGTGAAATATAATAGAATTTGTAGTTGTTTGGTAGAGTGAAATTAAGCAAGAAATAGAGTGAACTTGGTATTTATAATTATTATTTTACTCTTATTTTATAATATAGTTAGAATTAATATTTTTTATTTTATATAATTTTACACATTTTTCAAAAATTACAAGAATCTTCTCAATAGAGAGAGTATATAAAAAATAATGTAGAACTCACTTCTAATTTTTTACAATTCTAGTTAAATAACCTCTATAAAAAGATCG